GGGGGGGAGGCAGGTATCGCGAGAAGAGCAGCCGCGCGGGATTTTTTTCTTAAAGGAGACGGCCGGGAAGCGAAGGGAAGCGGAGCGGAGCGGAGCGGGCGAAGTCTCGCGAGACCTGCCGGCGTTCCCGCGCGGCCGTTGGGCCCTTAGGGCGGCAACGAAGCCTCCAGGCTTTGGGATGCCGTGGGCGGGCGCCTCTCGGCCCGGTGCTCTCGTGGTTACTAGCGTTTCACGGACAACAGATGGAAGTGCTGCTGTGCAGGGTACTTGGGGGTGCTTGGCCTGAGGGCAGCCACAGCTCTGTGAGCTGCCGGCCGGGAGAGTCTCCTGCAAAATCCAGTTTGGTATCGGGGGCAGTGAATGTCTGGGCTGTGCTCTGCTGCAGCATGCACAAGGGCAAAAACAAAAACGTAGCAGTGCTCAGAGGTCTAATCTGCTGCACATAACGCTGTTGTGCAAATTAACAAGCGAAAAATACAGCATCACACGTGAATGTAGCCCAGTGGAGCGTGTATACCGAAGCTGGAATTTAATCGGGCTGTTTTCAGCCGTTGCTACTGTTTTCACATATCTTCAGGGCTGTCAGCTCTCTTATAGTTTGTTGTAAGCATACTGAAGTCTGCAGATTTTTTCTTTTCCAGAAAAGCTACATTTTCTTGCTGAAGCTGATGACAGCGCTTCTTTTATTATCAAGGGAACTGTCTGGGTTGGACTGCTTTTTAACAAACTGATCACAACCTTTCAAATCAGCAAAAAGTCAAGCAGGCAGGCCCCCCCTTTCAACAGAGATTTAGATTCAGAGTCATTTGTGTTTTGTACGTGTATTTTTTTCTAGAATCAGATGATGACTTGCTTCTACATAGTGTGTCAAATTCGAAACTAACAAGGGAAACAAATAAACGTTTACCGTCTTATGGCTTCCTGAGCCATTTTAAAACAGAACACTGAACAATTTTTTTTCCAGTTACTTGTGCCAGTTTCAGAGCACCTAGCACCTTTCAGACTAGATAACCCAATAACTGATTTTTGTCTCTTTCTTCCTAAATGATTGAATTATAAGTTTATTGCGAGGTAGTCTAAACAGTTTATTTTTTTGATTTTTCTGTAAGCTAAAAATATCTGTATACCAGATAGACAGTTTCTGGAATGCCAGTAATAAACAGTGAGCAGCAGAAAAGTAGTTACCAGCTTACAGATATGCTGGAGCTGATGCTGGTTCATAATGTTCTGTGAAACAGTATAGGCTGACAGAAAGGTGTAAAGGGAGATAGCTGATAAAGTATTTAGTTCTGTTCTTTCTTTCTTGTCTCTACGTCTTAAAAGTATTCTACAAAGGAATATAGTGACAGGACCTGTCATATGACACAAACCAGGTCAGTGGCAGAGCCAGGAACAGGACATAAGAGTCTTCAGAAATTCAGGCTGCACTGAATTCCTGAATTCAATAGCAAACCCACCAATTTCAAAGGAGGAACAGTTCATGTCAGTTCTCTTAATTTCCACTGTAGTGCTCTGACCAGACAGCAGTGCTTCTTTTCACATCACTGGGGGGGTTAGCCACTTATGTTTGACTCCTTGCTGATGGCACAGTGTGCTAGAAAGTCTAAGAATGAAGGAATCTGAGTGTAATGTGAGATGATGTACACCTGGATTTTTTTTTTCATAAAATGCTAAATGTAAAAGTGGAAAAAAATTGGTGCAGCTTTCGCGAGAGGTAATCAGTAAATGAATATGGAATGGTGTGGAATTTCTCCACCCTTAAAAAAACAATCCTGAACAAAAATCCCTTCTGAGTCTCAGAACTATATTCCAGATAGTGAAAGTCATGCAAATACTATACGTAGTCTCCAAAAGAAGCTAACTAGCGAAGTTGTTTAATATATTATTTCAAACATTTTAAGGCAAGTTAATTTACAAGGCAAACTATTTAAGCAAGACTGTGATTCGGTTAGTATAATCTACAAATCTTGTCATTGTGTCGTAAATTGGTTATTGGCTAATTTTATCCTTGCTTGTTTAAGCTGCTGAAAAGAGAGAGTCGTGTACTGGGTAGTCTTAAGAAAACCTGATGTCTGCAAGAAAATTGTAACCAGCTTTGGACGCAATCCTGTGTTATTCTACTTATATCATCTTGTACTCCAAGCGTACAGTCAATGAATGCGTGAAAGCTGTTGAGTTTTCAGAGACTTTTTTCTCTCAGAAACAATTAGCATGCTCCAGAAAAGATTACTGTTGTATTTGATGGTGTGTTCAAACATCGAGCCCCAAAGCAAGGATGAGATCTTGGATAAATGCCCACTTTAATGTTAAATGTTTTCCTTTTAACGTACTGGGCAGCACTGTTCTTTTCACCAGTGTTTTCAGTAAGGTGCCAGATTACTCATCTATTTTTTTATTTTGCTTGCTTCTAGACTTATTGTCAGCATCCCAGCCAGAAATACAAGACAGCAACTAGCTTTTGGCAGGTGCCATAAAAGCAGCCCTTGAGACCAAGCGAAAGGTAATTATTTGGCATCTTGATGTATACTAAACATCCTGTAACTGAATTTCCTCCCATTGCAGCCTTAATCTGTAGCAAAATCCATAGCAGAAAAAAAGGGAACTAAAGTTATTCTCCAAGAAGGAATTGTAATAGTAAACAAGCAGGGAGAATAGTTGATGGAGTGTGTAACTGTGGTACTCAGAGAGCAATCTTACAGTTTGTATTATAAAGAGGAAAGATGAATAAGTTATGGTAAATTTTATACTGTACAGGCAATAAGATCTGGCTTTTGGGGATAAGACTTAAGTGATAGAGGACCAGTTTCCACAACTGTCTTATGTCTATCCATTATCAGAAGAGCTTAACTGGATGCAGTAACACCTTGCAAAGTATAAACTCAGTAATTAACAGCCATCTTATTCTTAACAAAAAAATTCAACCTCCCCCCCCACCCCAGGCATCTGGCCAGCTTGCCTCATAATTCAGTGGTAATTTAATAGAATGTTACAGGAAAAGCCTAAATTCCCACATCTTTATTATTTGGACAAACACATTAATGTATTTTTAATAGCACAATAGTAAGTAGTTTCATTAATGAAAATTAGGCATTTGTAAGTATCACGCAAGATCAATTTTTAAAGCAACTTTGATTATGTTTTTGATGCAGAATACATCAGTTTGTGATGAATATCTATTGTTACTGATTATCTGACAATTTCAATTGATTTAATGACATTTTGGGGAGGGATTAAGCACTAGAGAAGAAAGCCTGGGTCCTTGGTGCATCTGCAATAGCGTTGGGTACAATGAAGATAGCTAGGTTGGCTAATGAAAGTTCTACACCCTTGTGCATAGAATATTTTCAGAGACAAGGTACGGCAATAGAGATTCTAATGTATGGCTCTATGTGCTGTTTCCTACCTGCCTGCTCTGAGATTAATGAAGACTTCTGCAGCCAGAAGCAACATTAAGTTGCTTCCGTAAGTTGCTTTGCTGTTAGCCAGAATTTGCTTCTACCTGAACTTAATGAAAGGTGGATTATGTTTGGTTAACCAGTTCTGTTAGACTAATGGGAGAGTAGCTGGCATCAAAGCACTAAAACAGTTTCTGGACCATTAAACTACGTGAACATCAGGCACCACCTATACTGGGGGAGGTTGTTTAAAAATTGAATGTAATATAGTGCCAATAAATTATATTGTTTTAGAAATCTACGTGCAATCATATACTTTACTGCATTCATTCAAAAGGAATGTGACAAGAAACATACTCTCATAAAACCAAAGCTGCAAACAGGATGACATTTCAGATTTTAAAAACTTGGCAAAGTAAACACAATGTAACTTCATCATGACCTCAAACACTTAATACACCTCAGTCCTCAGAGCATCTTAGAAAAATCAGCAAGAGTATAGGCTGTTCTACTAAGGCAGACTTTTACACCGGGTTGTTCTTGAAGATAGATGTGTGTTTATACTACAAAGTGTTTATTTAACCAGTATTATGTTGCATTTCATTCTTATGGAGATCTTTGTGTTTAATAAAGACTCTTTCCTGCAGACTACAGCTGTTATTTTACTGTCACAAATACAGTATTACAACTTCACAATAGAATGAAATAAGAACCATTAAATTCTTACTTAAACACTTTAATTTTTCTAAAAAGCAAACAAGGAATAAAATTCTACCTAGACTCCAAGGATTCTAGTCTGCTTTTCAGTCAGTGGTAAAACCTCCATGAATTAGCTAGAAGCAGAATTGTACCTCAAAATCCCACTGAAGTCACTAGAGTGAATCTCTATTGCCTTCTTCTAATGTGTTCCTTCAAGAGGGACAAGAAAGGGAGGAAGGCACTATTAACAGGAACAGTTGGTTAGCTTTATGCCAGTAGAGAGTTTTCCTCTGCCATTACGGTTCTTCCAGCAAACTACAAGCAGCCTCTGTATCTTATGCCACTTGGAAAAAAAAAGCTAGAACACGAGAGAAGCTGGCCCATGTAGATTAGGACTTCTCTCCTGCAGTACCCTTATAGGACCTAGCCCATAATGAGAATGTTTTCAGAGGCCAGTGAATTGATTTACTTTCTTTCATGTGTCTGTAAAAGTTTTTAGAAAATAAGAGCTCTTCTTTAAGGAATTATTTCTAGCTCAAGCTAGAAGTTATTTGCTAGGCTATCTACAATACCTCTCACCATAGAACGATTTGTAAAAGGACTTCATTTTGAAAAACTTGCCATTGCTGAAAAGTTCAAATACTTATCCAAACTCCATATGAAACTTTGAACTCTACTCCTATTTGACTTAGTTTAGATTTCCTAAGAGGAGTGTTAGACTCAGATAACAGCCAGAATGAACAGGATGATGGGGATAAGCACTTTTTAAAGATGTGCTATATCCCTGAAAGCATTTCAGATGTAACGTTGTGGCCTTCCTGTTCGCTCTGCTTCGACAGAGAAGGGAGATAAATTAACTGACGTGTATCTAAAAGGGGCAGCTTAGTCACATTTACAGCAACCTTCACGTCAGTATGTCTGGAAACAAAACAAGTTAGTGAGCCTTCAATGCAGTCAGCATTTGCAGACCTCACTGAAACCCATAGAAAGGACAGGCACCTGGAACTGTTGAAAATGCAAGTCAATTGTTATTCAATTCAGTGATAAAAATGGCAGCATTGAAAGCGGCACAAAGAGGAACTGAGAACTTAATTACGTGATATGCACTGAATGAAACAAACATTTCGGAAGGCCTTTTGTCTTCCCGGGAGTTCATTTGCTACAGTATTTTACACATTCTCCACTAATAGTGTTCAAGAAGCTCTTAGGCTTCTTCATGGAAATCAGCCTGACTCTGGAGTGTGTGTATGCTAAGACAGCTGATACAGGGAACAAACTGGAGGAATCAGAGCCCTTGTGTGCTGTTGCAGGGCTACAGTCTCATCAGCGTTACGGAAACATGGTGGGATAGCTCACCCGACTGGAGTGCTGCTGTGGATGGATACAGGCTGTTTTGGAAGGACAGGCTGGAATAACGAGGATGGGGATTGGCCCTTTATGTGAGAGAACGGTGGGGATGCATGGGACACTGCCTGGAGGGCAGGCAGGAGCCAGCTCAGAGATTATGGGTTAGTATGAGAGGGCATACTGGCATGGGATCCACATTGTGGTGGATGTTTGCTACAGACCATCTGATTAGGAAGAAAAAGTAGATGAGGCCTTCTTCCGACAATTGGAAGAAGCCTCACATTTGCAGGCCATCATCCTCCTCACAGGGGACTTCAGCTACCCCAACAATTTGCTGGAAGGGCAACACAGCAGGGCACAAGCAGTGCAAGAGGTTTCTGAGTGCATTGGTGATAACTTCCTGACATCAATGATCGAGGAACCAACAAGGGGAGATGCCCTCCTGGGCCTCATACTTACCAACATGGAAGAACTGGTCGGGAATGTGAAAGTTGGGGGCAGCCTTGGCTGCAGTGACCATGAAAGGATGGAGTTCAGGGTCTTGAGAGAAGGGAACAAGGCAAATAGGATCACAGCCCTGAACTTCAGGAGAGCAGACTTTGGCCTGTTCAGGGATCTGCTTGTAAGAATCCCATGGCCTACAGGCCTGGAGAGAAGGAGGGTCAAGGAGAGTCAGTTGATTTTCAGGGATCACCTCCTTCAAGTTTGAGAACCATTTATCTTGATGTGCAGAAAATCAAGCAAAGGCAGCAGGAGGCCAGCATGGGTCAACAAGCTGTTCCTGACAAAATTCAAACATAATAAGGAAGCGTGCAAGAGGTGGAAGCAGGTCAGGTGACTGGGGAGGAGTATACAGTCTGAATGTGCGGAGAGAGGATCAGGAAAGCCAAAATCCACCTCACGCTGAATCTGACGAAGAACATGGAAGACAACAAGAAAGGCTTCTAATCGTATATCAGCAGCCAAATAAAGATGAGGGAGAACGTGGGCCTGCGGCTGAGGTACCTGAAGTTGAGGTACTCAATGCCTTCTTCACGTCTGTCTTCAGTAGTAAGATTTGCCTTCAGGAATCCCAGGCCCCTGAGACCTATGGGGAGTCTAGGGTGAGGAAGACTTACTATTAGTTGAGAAGGATCATTAGGGAACATTTAAACAAATTGGACATACAGAAGTCCATGGGATCTGATGGGATACCCTTATGAATGTTGAGGGAGCTGGCCAATGTTGTTGTGAGGCCACTCTCAATTGTCTTTGAAAAGTCAGGGTGATAGGTGGAGGTTCCTGGGGACTGTCTTAAAGAAGAGGGAGGACCTGGAGAACTACAGGCCTGTCAGCCTTACTTCCATCCCCGAGAAAATGATGAAGCATTTCCATGATGAAGCACTCCTGGAAGCCATTTCCAAACATATTAAGGACGAGAAGGTGATTGGGAGTAGTCAGCATGGACTTAGGAAGGGGAAATCACGCCTGACAATCGCAATAGCCTTCTGCAATGAAATGGCTGGCTCTGTGGATGAGGGGAGAGCAGTGAATGTTGCTTATCTTGACTTCAGCAGGGCTTTCGACTCTGTTTCCTGTTAACGTTCTCACAGACAAACTGATGAAGTACAGACTAGATGACTGGACAGTGAGATGGATTGAAAACTGGCTGAACTGCCAGGCCTAAAGGGATGTGGTCAGCAGCACAAAGTCCAGCTGTAGTCCAGTCACTGGTGGTATATGTTGGAGTCAATACTGGGGCGAGTACTGGCCAGAACATTTTCATTAGTGACCTAGCTGATGGGACAGAGTCCCTCCTCAGCAAGTTTGCAGATGATACAAAATTGGGAGGACTGGTTGATACACCAGGAGTGTTCTGCCATTCAAGAGGGACCACAACAGGCTGGCGAAATGGACAAATAGGAATCTCATGACTAAGTTACAAGATCTTCAAGTAATTTTCTCTTTTCTGTTCTCAGTATTAAAAATAAACGCCTAGAACTGCTAACTCAGCATGACTGGGAATGCTGCACGACACTTTAGCATAACAAATAGATAACATTTTGAGAATTTAAATAAA